GATGATGAAACAGGGAAAATCACATTCAAAAATTTAAAACGCGTTGCTAAGGAGCTTGACGTAGAAATAAGTGATGACAGATTGAGAGAGATGATTGAAGAAGCTGATCTAAATGATGACAAAGGAGTAGATGAGGAAGAATTCATAAATCTTTTGAAAAAAATAAATTTATACAATTGAAAAGAAATGTGATAAAATACAACTGTTAATTTTATTCTGAACCAACTATTTTCAATACTTCCAATCATGAGGCTTTTGTATAATGCTTTGTAAATTTCACGTACGAATTGATCGCTACTGTATTTACCTTTCTAATTAAGTCTTGTATTTACATATTTTTTTCATTTATAAAAAATTATATCATAAAAATAAATTTACTAGTATTTAAAATAATATTTTTTAGAATCATATCAGATATAGGATTTTATTTAAATTTATTATTTTTTGTAGTTTAAATATTAAAAAGTTTGTAGATTAAGTATTTTAATAAAAAATTTTATAGAAAATTTCATAACTTTATAAAATTATATGGTAAATAAAAAATAAAATAATTTTAATCTTATATAAAAAAATTATAAAATAATAATTATTTTTTTATTTTAAAAAATTTTAAATAAAAAATTTATTATAAGATAAATAATAATAATAATATAATCAATAATTAATTATCATTATTATTTTAACAGGCATTAAATACATGACTTTTATTAAATGTTATATTTATATGATTACATTAACAATCTTATTATATAATAATCTAATTGTAACTTATTTTATTAATCAGATATATCAACTTACATCCAGAAGATGAATCTATACACTAATAAAAATTAAAAGTATAAAAATCCTATTACCAGTTTAAACTATTTTTAATAATTAATAATTAATTATTTTTTAATTATTTTTTTTTGTAGGTAAATATCATTTCTTTATTTATTTGTATAATAATAGATATACATTGTAAAAAAAACAATATCTCTTATGTGTATTAGTACAACAAGTTAAATGCTAGCTTGCCTACAATAACTATTAGACTAATATTGAAAAGAAATTTTAAAACAATATATCTCGTCAAGCAGCTTTAAGCAGCTATGATTACCTACTCAATATTGGATGAAATGAAGTTAAAAGGATCTGTAATTAATTTAGAAATGCATTTAGTAAAGTTGAATCCACTTTAGATATATGAGTTAGCTATAATGATAGGTATGTCTATAATAGTTGATACTAATGTGAAGTTGTTATTAGGTGATTTAGTTTTGGCTAGGTTTTTGATAATTTGTTTTGTTGTGTTACTATGAAGATTATTGTTCCATTTGATACTAGTGAAAGGAGAGATGTTTGCTGTGACACAGCAGATGTCCAAATTGATTTGTATAGACAAATTAAGATTTTGATTAAAGCTGACCTAGTTGAAAAAATTGATTATGGAGAAAATATTATTCATAATGTTACATGCCAGCTCTATTAATTGTCAAGCATATGAGATTAGTTTGTGATTATTGTTAGAATAAAAAATATTGTTAATAATGATAATAAGTTGGCTAATATCTTTTGATACTAATAAGTATTTGAAGATATGTTGAATATTTTTAGTGTGTAAACTACACTGGGAACAATATGAATCAGAATATTGTTTTGAGTATAATTTGTGAAGATTTTCTCTTGTAGAGATAATTTCTAAGAACAATTTAATTCTGAAGATGATAAGGTCATTATATTTATTGGCTCTAGAGCTTTTTATTTTTTTGTTTGATTTGTTAATAATTTCAAGACTCAAGGAACTTTTACAGATTATATAGATTTTGGTGATGCTTAGAATTTTTTTGTACCATCTGATGCTGCTGCCTAGTTGTAAGTTATTGATTAGTGGACTTTTAAAAAAATGAAGTGGTAAATTAATTTATTGAAGAGTATTGTCAAATTTTTGATTAAATTTGGAATTAGTGTATTTATATTGAATTGATTTGTCTCATATTAGTTTATTAATTTTTAGTAATATCAGGGCAAAGTTGGTTTTTGTCATTCTTCTTAAATAGTTAAAGACTTCTTGAAGAATTTTCTTGTTGCTTCTTATTTCTATAATATAGTTTGATAGATACCAGTGTAAGATATCTATTATTATATAAAGAAAATCTTCTAATGAATGTCTTGAATTGATTGATATAATTTTTGTACTGTTTACAAAGGTCTTGTTCTGATGGAGTTGAAAATAATACTGTTGGCAAAAGTCAATTCTTTGAAGTGCTAATATGGAAGAAGAAATAAAAAAGTTGTTAACAAGTTAAAAAATATTTTCTTCTTGCTATAGTGTAATGAACAGTTTGCTGATTATGTTGCATAGTTGATATTTATTTGTATTGTTAAAATTTGAGACTATCTATAATGAAAATATTATAGGGCTTGTAAATGACAATGTATAAAAACCAGTCAAATATGATTCTATTGAACAACTATTGCACCTGGACAAAATGTTATTTGAACCAATAGAGTAGTGTCTTTTTTTAAAATTTGCCCTCTCATTTATGCTTCAACTTTTCTTATGTATTTTGATGATACAATTGGAATTATATGAGTATTAAAATAATGGACTGGAATTTGATACTGGATCATAGGTTCTATAGAAATTGTTTGGATTGTTTAAATCTTTGAACTATTTGGATTTAGATCCACAGTATATTATTTCTATATGTGATATGAGTTGGAGCTATAAGAGCTTTTCTGTGCTGTCATATTTTAGAAGTTAATTGGTGAATTTGATGTTTAGAACATTTGTTGTGTTAATTGTTATAGTTTTGTTAAAAGATTACAGGTTTTTGAATAGAAGATCAATAAAGTTTTCAGTATTGTTGAGATATATTAAGCAATTGTTTGGACAAATTTTAATTTTGAGATCTTTTGCAATCTTGGCTATATATATGATTTAATTATTTTGGATTACAAATAGAACAGAACTTGATTGATTCATTTTTTTGAATCAATTACAAGTCTTAGAGAATATATTTTCTAATTATGGATATGAAAAGTTTGGATATTAGGTTGTCAATCAGTAAAGATTCCCGCCTTTCTTTAAGAAGAGTCATATTGAGGCTGCCATAACTAATAAGAATTGCATTTGAGTATCTGGATATAATTCTGTAAGCTAATTTGATAAGTTTGTTAATCTTTTATTGGAGTATGTTAAAGATGGACTTGTTAAGGTATAATAGGAATAGAAAGTATTTAAACTTGCTCATAATAATCTAATTACAAATTTGTTATTTAATTTTGCCTTTTTAGTTGTATTTGGAAAGTTCTTTCAGAATGTATCTGTGGTTTGGTTAAGAGCCTTTCTATTGGACTTGAATAGACTTCTGAAGGAAATAAGTACATCCAGGTATTTAATATTTTCATAAAGCTTAAATACTTGGATTGGATAGTTGTCAAATTTGATTGAATTATTAAGACCTTGTTTAATATTGATATTGAAGATTATTCTGCTTTTGTCTTTATTGCAGGTAATATTGTTTATTATAAAGAATTGGTTAGCTATTAAAAGAAGATTTTCTATCAATTGTTTACTATTAGTAATAAGAGTCAAATCATCCATGTATACCAGGACATTGGGGGTGATATAACTTTGAATTGACTTGTGACTAACTAATCTAATAACAAGAGGATCATAGAATATTATCCAAATAATAATTGATAGTATCTCTTCTTGTTCTACTTCATTGTTTACTGTAAAGAGTTCAGTTGCTCTGAATGATATATTGATAGAGACTTTTTTGTTGCTAAAAAGATTAACAATTAGATTGATAATAATTGTAGGACAGTTGATTCTTTTGAGAAATTTTTTAATAGTTGGAATAGATGCTGAGTTGAAAGTTTTTACTATGTTAAATAATACGAACCAAAATTCTTTGTTATTTGTGTTAGCTGCATTTATAACAGAGTAAACTATTGTTAATAGTTTTATCTTGCTTTGGTTTGGAAGGCTAGCAAAGTTGAGTTCTGATAAAATATTATTTGATTTAAGGGTTTTGGTTAGTTTTTTATTGATTATATCAGTAAAAACTTTTCTGACTGAGTTGATAAGAGATATGGATCTTGTATTATTAAGTTTGTAACTTCAAAAAAGCTTTTTGGAGATAAGAGTAATAGTTGTTTGTTTCCAATATTTAGAAATAAATACAGATGATAGAATCCAATTGAAGATGAAAGACATATGTTGGACTGTTTTCTTGTATATTAGTTTGATAATATTATAACTAACTCCTGATTTTTCTGAAGCTTTATTCTTGAGTAGTTTGTTAATTGTATCTTGAATTGTTGTTTGATCGAAAGGTTGAATAACTTTATTGTATATTTCTTGATCAACTGGTTTGATAAAGTATTCTTTGTATCAGTCTGAAAATTGGTTTAAGTCGAAGTTTTTGCTTCAAAGGATGTTCTAAAAATATTTGTTTATGATTTTTTGTATAAGGTTTGAATTGTTTTCTATTTGTTCCTTGTCATTATAAATTTTGTGAAGATCTAGTTTTGACTTTATTGAGCCAAATGCCTTTTTAATGTAGTTTTGGATTTACTATAGAAGTTTTTGATCATGTTTTCAATATTTGTCTGATATTCGACCAGTAGTTCTTGTTGGAATTGTAAGAGAGCTTTTTTAATTAGGAGTTTTTGAAGTTTTTGAAGACTTTTTAGTGATAAATTGTTGTGACTGTTGGATGCTTTATATAAGGTATCCAGTTCTTAAATAAGAAGAGGAGACATTTGGTGGTTTTTGAGACATATTATGATTCTGTTAATCCTTCTAATTTGTTTTTTGAGTTTTTTTTTTGCATTGATATGGTGATCCTTTTGTATTAAACTTGTTTGAACTTTCTTGATGAACTTGTTTAATGTATCCTTGCAGATGTTGTCAAAGTCTTTTCAGCTTGTTGATAAAAGAAAACCAGTTTATAAGTTCAGTTCATTTGTAAATTCTGTTATGTTTTCTTTGGAGGTTTTTTCAATACTGAATTTAAAAGTGGATTTAATTTTTCTGAACTCAAAATAGTCAAGTTTAATTGAGACTATGCGATGATTTGTAGGAATTAAATTGCAGTCTTTTACTTCATATCAGATAATTTTGACAGCAATGTTTCTGAAGGCTTATACTTGGTCAATGCAAGAGGTGCTGATGATAGTAATATATA